TGCACCACCAACCTTCTAGTTAGCAGTCATATGCCTTAGGCACTGTGCCACCAGAGCTCCTTTCCAAGGCTTAGAGAAGGAATCAAAAAGGAGGGTGGATTCCCAGCTTTAATTTCGAGAGCAGGAAATGGAAGCCAAAGTGTGAGGAGGGAGGAAGACGGCTCCAGAAGCCCTGAACCCCTCGCCCTGGGTGCCAGGCCCTGTGCTAAGCACTTTCCACCCTACTGCATCATCAAATCCTTACAGCCTCCTGGGGCAGAAGGGGCAGCATAGCCCCATGGTTAGGAGTATAAGCTCTGGAACCTACCACTCACTGGCAGTGTGACCATGAGCAAGTTGCTTACCCTCTCTGAGCCTCAGCTTCCTCCTCTATAGAATGGGCATAGAAAAGAGCCTCCTTATAAGGCTGTTGGGAATTTTGAGAGCTCTTTCATATAAAGCAGTCAGCATAGTGCCAGGCACACTGAAACACTTAATGAACAAGTCATACCTACAATTACCACTAAATAAGGATTACAGGCATCCTCCCTGGACAGAGGGGTAAGAGGGTGGGAGGTCTGTCTAGCCCCAGATGACCAGGGTGTGTCCCCATCATCACTGACAAATGAGACAGGAATGTCCCGCTGCCCAGAATACCAGGGCCCTACTGGTCCTTGAAAGTTGTGGGGTTGAGGCCCAAGAGCATCTTGTGATGAGATGAACGGTCCACTCCAACCAGCTCACCTCCCAAGGAGCTGCAGAATGATCACTCCAGGTGTATGCATATCCAGTGATCTTTGTGCCAGCTCTGTGCCATCCCAGGGCACCATGTGACCATCAGACACTTCTCAGGGGGAGATGAAAGTTAATTGGCTTTTGTTGGCAACTTGGGTGTTTGGTATCGAATCAGCAAGAGCAGCAGGCAGGGCTGGGAGCAGAGGGAGCAGGGTAGGAATCCCACCCAGCCCCTTGGTCCCTGGCATTCAGAAGCCAGTCTTTGGAAAGGACCAATGATAATGTGAACCTACCATGTGCCAGGCCCTTGCTAGCCCTCAGGCTCACGAAGCCCCTGAACCCATCCCGCTTTGCAGCTATCCAAACTGAGGATCAGAGAGGCCAAGTCACTAGCCCAAGGCCACACAAAAGAGCCAGATCTTTCCAATTCCAGAGTCTGAAGGCTTTCTGTTGGCCTGGGCTACCTCTAAGTGTCCTAAATGTTCCATATCTGCACTAATGGGGAGCCATTGACAAAGTACACAAAAGTAAAATGACAGCCTTCCCATTTACAGAGCATGTGGCAAGGGGTCCAGGAATATCATAAGTCCTGAAAAGTAAAGCATTGGGCTCTGTGTCTCAAACCACTCTCCTGGAACCCCAAGAGATCACATTTCTATGTACTGGACTTCTATTTATTGAGGTTGACCTGTGTTTCCAGGTCTTCAGGGCCTCTACTGATGTCATTCGTGTATGGTACAGGGTACCGTCTCCTAGTTCCTCTCTTCCAACCATCACATGCTGCTGAAATCCACCAGAAACCCCCTGTAACATGGAGCTTGAGGCTCTGAGTAGCCCAGCTGTGACATTTGAATGCAATAATGCCACCATACACTGGGAAAATCAATGAAGCTAAGCCACTCCTCGGAAGAAAGGTTGGGCAATTTACTTCCGTAGTGATATCGCCTTGGAAACCCAAGGAGGGGTCACTATGAGTCAGGTCCGACTCAATGGCAAATAACAACAACAATAACAAGCTTTACCTGAGCATTTACTGGGTGTTCACTGCCATGGGCCTTTATTCTCTCAACCACCTTGTGAGGCCATGATTACCTCCATCTTGCCGATGAGAAAACTGAAGTAGTAGCTAGCTCACGGGCACACAGCAGTTAAGTAGCAAGCGGCTGGGATTGATTCAAACTCAGGGCAGCCCCACAGCAGACAGCCCCCTGCTAAGATCCATGTCAGTCATCATTAACACAATTGTGATTATTATCACCACTCAAGGATGATCCAGTTAAACCCTTTAAAATTACTGGAAGAGTCTGAAACTCTCAAAGGAAAACAAAAGATGGCTTCAATGGCATGGTTGTTTACTGGCCTTGGGGGAGTGGCTGGTTCAGAATTGAGATGTGGAATTTTCCAGCAACCCCCACTGCTCGGCCAAAATGGCTCTGCACCTTCCAGAGCTTGGTGCCAGCACCTGAGCCCAACCCACTCATACACCGAGAGCTCAAAAACATTCCTTGGTACCACTTGGCGTTCTTGCCATGTTTCTTCTTACCCCTGGCTACCTAGACATCTCTGGAGTCTCTTGAAATTGGACTTCCAGATGCTGGGCCATGAATCTTTGGAAACATGTTCTACTTTACCTTGTGAGGCCAGCACATGGCAGAGAGGGCAGTGGGCAGTACGCAGATTCTGAGACCTATATTCAAACCCCAGGTCTGCTAAGTGATCTTGGATGAGTCACCTCCCCTCTCTGAGCTGCTTCCCTTCTCCCAGCCAGCTTGAGGATAAAAGTGAGCACTTGGCACACAGTAGACCTCAGGATTTGGCAGCCCCCTGCCTAGCCCTGATAGAAGGAACCACTGTGAGTTCTCCAGGGATGAGCGGTCAGATGCTGCTTGGGGTCAATTTCTATGGACGTTGCTGTTCCCCGTGCCCCAGTGGAGAAAAGGGCCTGGACTAGTCTTGGCTGTGGCACTCACCTCTCGGGGACTCAGTTTCCTCATCTGTAAATGGGAATAATCCCTGCTCGCTCTCTGGATCCTTGTGGGGATGCAGGGAGAAGGGTGTATATAGAGGGACTTGGGAGACCTCAAGGCTCAACACAGCACAGCAGGCCCTTCCTTTGAGTCTGAGGCTTATTTTGGGGGGGCGAGGTCTCATGTTTTTCTGCTCACCCCAAGGGCCTGGCAGGCCTCAAGCAGTTTGGGGGCCCAGGCTGGGTGATTCAATGGTGAGAGGGGGTAGGATGCAGGGTGACCTCTAGGTCAGACAAGCAGCTCACCATTCGAGGTGGCAGTGCCCTCACTGTGTTGCGGACCTCAATCACTTCACTCAAGTCCAACAAGGGCTCACTCAGTACCTCCTGTTTACTGAGCACTGGGCCCAAGCATCCCCTTCCTCTCCTCAGGCCCCAGGAAGTGGTCACAGTTGCCCATTTTGCAGATGAGGACACTGCAGCTCAGGGAGGTGATGACTCACCTGGGATCTTATGGTGGCAGCAGCGACATTAGAACCAGCTCCTCTGAGAGCAGGCCTGTTACTGTGGCTCCCGCCCCAGCCTTGCTGCTTAGAGACCTGAAGGAGATGGTGTCAGCAAACTGCAATTTAGAGCCTGTCCTAGTTTCCTGTGTCTGCTGTAACAGAGTACCAAAAACTGAATGGCTTAAAACAATAGGGATTTAAGATCTTGCAGTTCTGGAGACTAGAAGCCCAAAGTCAGGGTGTTTGCAGGGCCTTACCCTGGGGGAGAATCTGCTCCAAGCCTCTCTCCTAGCTTCTAGTGTTGCTGGTAAGCTGCCTTGTTCCTTGGCTTAAGGTGTTGTCATTGTTGGGTGTCATGGAGTCAACTTTGACTCATGGAGGCCCCATGTGACAGAGCAGAACTGCCTCATAGGCTTTTCTAGGCTCTAATCTTTCCAGGCACAAATCACCAAGTCTTTTTCCTGTGGAGCTGCTGGGTGGGTTTGAACGGCCAACTTTTTGGTTTGCAGCCAAGTGCTTACTGCTTATAGATGCGTAACGCTAATCCCTGTCTCCGTCTTCACATGGCCATCTTCTCTCTCTGTCTCTTTTTCATAACGACACCAGTCACAGTAGATTAGGCCTCACCCTAATGATCTCACCTAAAGTTGACAATATCCGCCAAGACACTATTTCCAAATAAAGTCTCACTCATAGATACCTGCATTTAGAACTTCAACATATATTTTGGGACACACAAGTCAACCCATAACAGATCCTACAGCACATGCAATATGGGTTACCTTCTTTCTGTTCCAACCTCATGTTTTCTCTTTTCATAAATTACAATAAGCCCTGTCCTCTCTGCTAGTTCTGTCACAGACCTCACTTCATTCGTTCTTTTTTCATTTTATTATAGTGCAACATATACAAAAGTTTGCTACCTTATCCACCTTTAGTGTTCAATGAGTATGAAGAGAGAAATGTTCAAAAATGTTCTAGATAGTTATAAAAGTGGGATCATGCCATATCTGTCCTTTTATGTCTGACTTATTTCATCATTAAATGTCAACCTTCACAATAGGTCTCTGAGATAAAGAATATTTCTCTCTTTACAGATGAGAAAACTGAGGCTAGAAAGGTAATGTCATTTACTCAAGAGCTCACAGTTAGAACAGAGACAGGAAATTGAAGTAGCTAAGAGGTGAGCTTTGCAGCTTGACTGCCTGGGTTCAAATCCTACCTCCCTACTGGCACTTCCTAGCTCAGGTGAGTCACTTGGCTTCTCTCAGAAGCCTCAGTTTCCACATTTGTGAAATGGGAAAAGTGAGTACCTTAGGAGATGATCCACTTTGCACAGGAGTTGGCACATAGAAAAAAAAAAAAAAACTCACTGCTGTTGAGTCGAATTCGGCTCATAGGGACCCCTCCTTGGGTTTCTGAGGTGGAATCACTATAGAAGTAGATTGGCCAGCCTTTCTTCTGAGTGGCTGGTGGAAGCACTGGATATACAGATCACTATCCTTCTGGTTAAGGAGCTCTGGTAGCACAGTGACTAAGGCATATGACTGCTAACCAGAGGTTGGTGGTTCAAACCCACCAGCCGCTCACAGAAGCAAGACTGGGAAATGTACTTTCATAAAGATTTACAGCCTTGGAAACCCAGTGGGGGTTGCTATGAGTCAGAATTGACTCAATGGCAATGGGTTTTTTTGGTTTTATCCTTCTGGTTATCAGTGTTTGTTACTTGGCAGAACTGGGATTTAAATCCAGACCCATGAGGCCCCTCTTGCCTAGCTAACCCCACCCTGCCTGCTTCCTTCTGCTTTCTGCAGGATGTGCGACGGCCCAGGGTGGGGCAGAGGATGAAGGGGAGGCGGAGGCAGGCTGGATAGAAGGGGCTGCCATCCTCCTCTCGGTCATCTGCGTGGTCCTTGTCACGGCCTTTAATGACTGGAGCAAAGAGAAACAGTTCCGAGGCCTGCAGAGCCGCATCGAGCAGGAGCAGAAGTTTACTGTGATCCGGGCCAATCAGGTGGTCCAGATCCCTGTGGCCGAGATTGTGGTAGGGGACATCGCCCAGATCAAATATGGTAAGTGTCCTAGCCATAACATCAGGTTATAGAGCTGGAATCTAGAGAGATGTGAGCTGTGCCAGGAGCACAGCAGAGCCAGAGAAAACATCCCAGGGTAGGTCCTTGAAGGCTGATCCCCAGCCAAGATGTCTTAAGAGATCCTTCAGGAGGTCAGATGGTGCTTCCTGGAGGAGGTAAGATTCCAGAATCCATTTAAATAAGAAATGATTAATACATAGCACATGTGCCACCACTTTCCAAATCTTTACCCATGGCAGACATCACTAATCAACCACAGTGCAGAACCTAGATACAACCTCAGAAGCTTTGTCAACACTACACTTCAAGAACCACTAATACACAGAATAGACTTATGAGATAGAATCTAGTTACCATCCCTAATTTGGCTGTCAACAGATGGTGATTGGGCTAAAGAAAGTGTTAGAGGGAGCAGAAGTGGATGAGCAAACATTCTGGGCCCATAGAGAAAGTGGGCAGGCTGGCACCAAAGGTTTAGAGGAAATACATCCTGGGTAAATAGAAGCAGAAGGCATAGGGTGGAGGAGGAGTGTAGTGGCCCTCTTCACTTAGCCGTAGGGGTCTGTCTTAGTTTCCCTGATAATGTGCTTGTCTTGGGGTCTTCTCAGAATTTCCCCAAACCACAGAGGAGACTAGAAAAGAATGGATCTTTAAATTCAAAATTCTCAGGATTAAGAAAACTTAACCCCAAATCCAAGCCAGGCCAAGAGAAGCACTTTGTAAACTATAAAGTTTATACTTGAGCTGAGATTGTTACTAGACCCAACCTCAGCCCTCCAGGCCTTGGACCATTCACCTTGGCCCCAGTCTTTAGCTGCATATTGGCCTGGAACAGGTGCCATCTTGGTTGCTGCACCCGGAGAGCTCTAGGCATCTGTTCCCCACTGATGAGCCTTTCCTCGTAATCACCCCAAAAGGGAAAGTTCTAGCCTCTCCAGCACCTTAGACCTTGCTGACTCCCTGCCCTTCCTCCTACCAGGTGACCTCCTCCCTGCTGATGGCCTCTTCATCCAGGGCAATGACCTCAAGATTGATGAAAGCTCCCTGACTGGAGAGTCTGACCAGGTGCGCAAGTCTGTGGACAAGGACCCCATGCTGCTGTCAGGTGAGCTGTGACTAGCTGGCAGTGGGCTCACTCCCAGTCCCACCCTCATGTGAAGGGAGAGGGCCATCTATGTTTCCCCTCCCTAAGGCTGGATGGGCCTGGAGACTTTGGTCTTTGGCTTTGGGATCTCTGGCCAGCTCAGCCTTCACAAGAACTCCTTCCCTTTTCCCCCACAAATGTGCCTACTGTGAGCTCAGCACTGCTCTAGGCCCTGAGGATACCCACAGTGAAAATATTGACCAAAAAAACCCTGCCCTTATGGAACAATGTTCTAGTTACTTGGTTTATGAAAAAATCAAAAGTTGAAGCCTGTTGTCATCAAAAACATGAAGGAATCACTCCAGTGACACCTACTAGGTTTAAGGCACTAGGCCAAGTGCTGGGGAGATAACAGTGAAGAAGGTAGGTGAGGCCCCAGCCCTCAGGAGCTTGCATTATAGTAAGGAAAGAGAGGCAATGCAAAAATTCTAGAGGATGATAGGTGTTTGAAGAAAATAAAACAGGGCAATGGGAGGCAGGTGACTGGAGAGGTGGGGGAAGGCATCTTGGGGAGGCAGCATGTGAGCCAAGGTATGAGGATGAGAAGGATCTGGCCTTTTGAATATTGGGGAATAGTGCACAGGCAGAAGGAACAGCAAAGGCAGAGGCTCAGAGCCAGGACTGTAGCTGGAGGATTGTGAGCAAGATGGAAAGGACTGAGGAGACAGATGTCAGACCTTTTGGGCCAGGTGAGGAGTTTGGAGATTATTCTGAGTGTTTTAAGCAGAGTCTTAAAGAGAACTGGTGTTTACATTTTTAAAAGCTCACCCTGGTTGCTGCAAGAGTGCTGGTGGGGAGACCTCACGGGGATGAGGTACCAGCCAGGTGAGACACCTTCCCCACAGAGACATCCAGAATTTGTTTTCCAACAATTTTTTCCAACAGACAACAATTGCTTTCCAACGATGGTTAGCAAACATCCTCTGAACCACTGCTCTGGACCGGGCACCAGGCTGGGTGCTGGGACCTCCTCCCACACCATGACTCAGACCTAACCCCAGCCACGAGGATAGGCACACGTGGAAATAGCTAATTCCAGCAGAGAGGTGAGAGGAAGGTGTCATGAGAAAGGCTAGAAGGTCTCCCTAACTCAGCCCTGGGGAATGGGCAGAGCTACCCAGAGGAGGTGATGTTGAACTAGGTTTTAAAGGGTGAGTGGGAGTTCACCAAAGAGAGATGTAGAAAAAGGGCACTCCTCACAGAGGCAACTATGTGTAAAGACACAGAGGTCTGAAGGACTGTGGAATGTTCTGGAAACATAAAGAGGAAGATCAACAGGTCTGCAGGGTGGGATGGTAGAAAGGAATAAGAATTGGGGCAAGGACATTTATTTATCTGGGACATTTTCATTCAACATTTATTAAGTACCTATTGTATGCCAGTGGTTAATGGGACAAGCAAGGTCCCTGCCCTCTTGGAGCTTACAATCTAATAAAGGAGACATAATAAAGGAGCATGCAAACAAATATGTCAGGTAATTTCAGATAGTGATAAGTCAGATGAAGAGAGTATGCCATTGTAATAAGGTAGAGATCCACAGGGGTCTTAGTTGGTCAGGGAAGGCCTGTCTGAGGAGGTAGCATTTGAGCTGAAACCCGAACAGTGAGAAGAAAGAGCACTCCAGCAGAGAGAATAACAAGTGCAAAGGCCCTGGGGTCTGATTGGGAGATAGTTGAAGGCCTTGGATGTCTTCATGAATTTTGGGTCTCATGAGGCTCAATAAACTGTGGGATGACTTGGTTGGCAGAAGTGGCTAGGTCATCGGGATCTGTGGAAGCCATGGGGAGGCACTGGGCCTGCGTGGATTTGTGATGAAGGTTCCAGACAGTTCAGAGAAGGCAGAGGAGATAGAGCTACCTGGCAGGAGGCAGAGGAGAGAAATACTCAGAATCACTGGCCTGGGCATCACAAACCAGCCAAGGAGGCAGGCTCAAGTACAGAGAGACCCTGTAAGAGATGCAGATGAGGGAGAGATGGACAGGAAGTTGCCCAGCCTAGGGGGGTTGCCCAGGGGTAGCAGGGTCACCAAGCAGGGACAAGAGGTCCCAAAGAGGGCAGTTATTGTTGTTAGTTGCCATCAAATCAATTCTTAAATATGGTGACCCCTGTGTACAGAGTACAACTGTGCTCTGTAGGGTTTTCAATGGCTTATTTTTCCATAGATCACCAAGACTTTCTTCCAAGACACTTCTGGGTGGGTTCGAACCACCAACCTTTCAGCTGGTAGTCAAGTGCTTAAGCATTTACACCACCCAGGGACTCCTAAAGAGAACAGAAATGCCAAAAATAAAAACAAAGCTGAGGGCAGAGGAGAGGGGCAGGAGGAGAGTGAGGAGGAGCTCAGGGAGAGACAGAGGACTCAGGGAGGGCTGCTTGGGCTCTATGTCCCTTGCTCTCTGTCAAGGAGAAGCCTTGTTAACTGGGGAGGGGTGCAGATGTCTGAGGGGTATGAAAATCCCAGGAGGCTAAGAGATCACAAGACAGAGACTCCTGTGGGTGGGGAAGGGCTACAGGGCTAGAGAACAGACAAACGGCATTCCCAGTCTCACCAAAAGTCTCAGTGAATCCTGTGAAGCCCAGGCTGATGGGTCAACATTAGTTAAAGTGGGTGGTTTATGAGCACTGGTAAAAGAAAAGAGTGATCACAGGAAACCACTATGGGACCCCCAAAGCCAAACCAAACCAACCAGCTTTGGTCTTGAGTATTCGGCTGGCCTGGAAGCTCAGGTAAATGGAATAGACCAAGGCCTTCTGTGATGTCCTTGTGGACAAGATAGAGAAGGGTGTGCAGAAGCCAGGGGATTCAGGTATATGTGTACTGATTCTAGAATTCCTTGGGTGGTGGAAACAGTTAACATGTTTGATTGCTAACCAAAACGTGGGAAGTTCAAGTCCACCCAGAGGCACCTTGGAAGAAAGAGCTGGCAATCTACTTCTGAAAAACCAAACATTGGAAATCCTATGGCGCACAGTTCTACTCTGACACACATGGCACACCATGAGTCAGAGTCGACTTAATGGCAGCGAGTACTGGAGCTGACTCTTAGGTTTCTGGCAGTCTGGGAGAAGGTTTCTGCCCTATTGCACATTGGGAATTGTGTCCATCAGGCTGCCAGGGACCACGACTGCAGAGAGGGTGGCAAAAAGAAAGCAAGAGTCAGGATCCAGAAAGATCACCACAGCACACAGGATGAACTAGACTGAAGAAGATGAAACTAGGCAGGGACCAAACTGTGAGTCCACAGTGCTGACATTCAGAAACACAATTATAGGAGCATAGGGAGGGGCAAAGAAGGGTGGCTTAGCCACAGCAGCTTGTGAGGGAAAGACAGAACAGTGAGTAGTCAATTCAATAGAACGCTATTTGGAAAGAGAAGCATTCTAATAGTCAGGACCACTCTAGAACAAAAGAAACTGACTGAATGGTAGTAAATTCCCCAGCACTGATTGTGGATGAACAGGACCCCACAAGCTGTGGGTGGGGCTATTGCCTAGTGAGCCCAAGTGTTGAGTAGGTATTATGTTCAATGCCTGTCCCAGCCCGGAGATTCACAGATTTACGGTTCTGTGACCGACAAATGTTGGGGGGCCCCTTCATCCTGCCTACCCCACAGGGCTGTTGTGGGGACCACATGCATGAACAGATGCCACAGTCCTCTGTGAGCCATGTGAGTATGAGGGCCATGTGGATTCCAGCCTGGTGCCAGCCCTGTAGGAGCTCTGGTGGCATAGCGCCTAAGGCATTTGACTACTAACCAAGAGGCTGGCAGTTCAAACCCACCAGCCACTCCTCAGAAGGAAGGTTGGGCAATATACTTCTGTAGTGATAACACCTCAGAAACCCAAGGAGGGGTCGCTATGAGTCAGATCCAACTCGACGGCAGTGAGTTTGCTTTGGTTCTGGGCCTTCTTCTTGCACTGTAAACCCATCTTCTTCCATCCTGTCCACCCTACCTTTGCTGAAGAGATTCCCTCTCAGACTACTCTCTCCTTTCCTCTTTGCTCATTTAACTCTGCCCATCTGCTCAGTCTCCACCTCCCCCATGAAGTCCTCTGTGACCACCACTATCCTCAGCCCCGTGGCAGTCACCCCTTACCAGCTGGGACCCACATTTTCACCTATGCCATCCCACACTGTGATGGGGCCACTCAGGCACAAGTACATGTATTGATTGAATTTCCCACTCTACAAACCATCTCATATACAATAAAGAACTAAATCCACCTGCAGTAACTGAAACTAACTCCTGGGTCACCTTGTAGGTAAATAACACTTTAGCTCAGAAAATAATATCACCTGTGAGTACTGTGAGCCTTTGAAAAACCACCTATATGACACCAAAAGGCCAACAATTACATTAAAACAAAGATAAAAATGTTAGGGGCCAGGGAACTAGATTAATGGAAATGAAACTAGAACAGAAATAATGACAATATTTGCACATTGTAAAGAATGTAACTGATATCATTGAACAACTTGTGCAGAAATTGTTGAATCAGAACCTAAACTGCTGTATAAACCTTCAACAAAAACACAATAAACTGTTATTAAAACAAAAAAAAAAATCTACCCACAGTCCCACCACACACACAGATGTCTAACTCATCTCATTCTTATAGAACCTCATCCATCCTTGGTCTTACACAGCCATGGAGGCCACTGCCAGAGTGTGCTTCTGTATTGATCCTCTCGCCAGAGAGGCTTGAGCTGCTGGGATCTTGAGACTCTGAGGTTATAGGAGGAGGGCATTCCCAGCTCCTTTCCCTGGGCCCTACATACTTCAGAGGCCCAGGTATGGTTTGCCAGAGGTGAGAAAAAATAAACTATGAGAGGTTATAGAGAGAGCAGAGAGCCACACCAGGCTGAGCCAGATGCTGGCACTACAATGAACTTACTGTGTGGCCTCAGGCACAGTGCTTCACTTCTCTGAGCCTCAGTTTACCTATGAGGACAATGGGGG